GGAACGTCCCCAAGTAGGGGGGGGGTGGCGGGTAACCCAGGGTCACACGCTCTCGCCATCCCGGCACAGGGGAGGCCACGTGCAGCTTGTGGACGGCTCGGACCTGAGCTACGTGGAGGACGGGACGCCCTGCGGGCCCGGCATGCTGTGTCTCGACCGCAAATGCCTTCCAGCCACCGCCTTTAACTTCAGCTCCTGCCCCGGCAGCTGGGACGGGAAGATCTGCTTCGACCACGGGGTGAGGGACACACGGGGGACAAGGGGGAGCCGGGAGGGTGTCACGGCAGCGGGGGGTGACGCTGTCCCCTCGCAGGTTTGCAGCAATGAGGGCAAGTGCATCTGCCGGGCCGAGTGGACGGGGAAGGACTGCAGCGTCTACGACCCCATCCCAGAGCCGAAGCCGACGGGGGAGACGGAGCGATACAAGGGTCCGTGCGCCCCGCGGAGCGGGGACAGGATGGGCTCCCCGTGTCCCTGCTGTCCCCAGTCCCCACAGGCTGGGGTGTCCCACTTTGTCCCCAGCCACTCCAAGGGGGGTCCGGTGTCCCTGTTCTCCCCCCAGTACCACGGCTCTGCTGGGCACAGCTGGGTCTTGTGTCCCCCCCCCAGGTCCCCACAGTGCTGGGGCTGCCCTGGGGCTGTGTCCCTGTCGTGCCCCCCACTGACGTGTGTCCCTGTCCCCTCCTCCCTGTCCCCTCTGTCACAGGTCCCAGTGGCACCAATATCATTATCGGCTCCATCGCGGGGGCCGTGCTGGTGGCCGCCATCGTCCTAGGGGGGACAGGCTGGGGATTTAAGTAATGCTCGTCCCCTTCCGCTGCTGGCACTGGCTACGTCCCCCCTGCGCACTGTCACGGCGCCAGGGCCAGGTCCCTGCCCTCCTGGGGACACCCCGGGCACCCCTGGATGGGGACACCACCAGTCATCCCCCCCAACTTGGGCATCACCTGCGGTGTGGTCCCCTGGGGGCTGGGGATGCCCTGTCCCCTTGTCCCTGCCTTGTCCCCCTGTCCCTGCCTGGTCCCTTGTCCCAGCTGGGTCCCCTGTCCCTGCCTGGTCCCCTGTCCCTGCCTGCCCTGCCTGCATGTGTCATTGGGGGTTCACTGTCACCCCAACCCCCTGCTCCGTCCTGGCCGTGTCTGTCCCCACGCATGGGGTGCCGGGGGAGGGGGTGGTGTCTGCGTTGGTGGCCGCCGTGTGTGCGCTCCTGCCTGGCACTGGGACACGTCTGCTGCCTGTGGGAGCAGGGACACTGAGGGGGGGAAAGCGGGGACACGGGGGTGGCACTAACGCTCCTCTCCTCTCCCCCCCGCCCGC